TTAAGTCCGAGGTAAACCTGTCAAAAAATAACAGACCTGGGCCTGACGGAAGGAGGATAATAAAGAGTAGTCAAAACATCGAAGATCCCTTGGAGGGACAAAGCTCGAAACAGATGAGGGCTGACAGGGCGGCCCACGAAAGGTCCCCGTCAACAGCTACAGAGGCACAGGCAAAATCCGAACATTTCCTCACTCGCAGTCCACCCCAGAAGGACACTCAGGCAACGCTAGAAGGACCCCGTCGCAGTGCACGTGTTGCAGAGCGTCGAGATGCCTCCATGAAAGTTGTTAAAGTCATCTCCCAGCCAAAATCACTCTCAAAATCGGAAGCAACCTCAGCACAACCGCAGGCGTCTCACTCGCAAATCAAGAGCACGAAAGCTCCCGTGGCGAGGAGACAACCGCAGACGTCTCACTCGCCAAATAAGAGCGCGAAAGCTCCCGTGGCGAGGAGACAACCGCCAAGCAATAGTTCAGGTGGTATAGCTAAACCTACAGGGAAGGCACAGCGGCGGCGTCGAAAGCGACCGCGGGGTTGGTGAGGTATCATGAATTTGAGCTAAGCGAATAATAGATTTGTGAAGTCGTCCGTCGTTGGAGTACACACATTCCCAGCCAATATGATGGCCAGCGCGTTTGGGAATAGCTCGCAGAACGGCTTCAAGACGCTTTCGCTTCTTGACCTTCGCAATCAGGATGCGAATCAGTATCATTGATGTGGGAGCTATGCCAGTGTCGCGTTCCTCGTACTCCAAGACCGACGGAGCTGTTCCGTCACTGGGTCTTATAACGTCGAACACGGGGTGACCGCACGCAAACCCCTGCCAACCGCACAGCCAGGGCCCGCTTATCATTACCTAACCAGGCTAGACTGGTTAGGGTCACACCCTAGCGGAAGATCATTATTCCAGGCGTCCTCTAGTAATTTTAAGTCTCTAACTGGCTCCTTGGTCTTAAGGGCGTGTTAGCCTCAAGGGCTACACGGTCTGCGCCAAGAATTCTGTCGACCAAGCCATTATCAGTGAGTTTCACGGAGCTGCGGGCCTTGAGGCCTTCCACAGACACTCCTTGAGGTAAACCATCCCGAAAGAAAACAAAAGTTGGCATCGCTGAGACGTTGTACCGCTGGGAAGCGGTTTTGACATGGTCGACATTAACCTTGACGAAGGCAAGCTGACCAGTTGAGGAGTGTTCTTCCGCTAATTTGGAGAAAATAGGCGCGATTGCCCGACACGGGGGACACCAGTCGGCATAAAAGTCAACTGCCACACATTTGGTAGTAGATAGTACAGCATCTAGTTCGGCAGCGTCGCTTATTTTGACGACTTTTTCTGACGTCTCAGGAATGGGTGCGCGGTTTTGAAGTATGCCCTATGGTACCGGTCAGTCACACTGACAAGTCTCTGCCAACTTTGGTGCGTTGGAGAGGAGATGTTGACGGTCAAACGACGACAAAAACGAGGCTGTGGCTGACCACGACCAATAATTTTCAAGAGCAACTGAAAGTAAACTCACGGGCCAGATGAAAAGAATCGCAGCTATCGCCAAAAGAACCCATGATAGAGTCTCCATTCTTTATGCAATGGTCTGGTCGATCGGGAACAGCAGACGCGTGGCGGCAGTTGTTAATATTGGGAGGTGCAGCATGGGCTGACCACAAAGAGTCAAAGGAGTCAAATGTGCCACAGCACGTGACCATATACAACAAAGCTGACTCTTCAACAATATCGGTGCCTAATAATAATGAATCGGCGGCTTCAGCAGAGCTGCTGCCCAATCGAACATATATTTATTGCATCTATCAATCGATAGACAGGCGGATGCGATCAAAATTACCCCCTCTCAACGGACGAATGGTTTTTTCTGCACTAGTCTGACCAGCAAACAACAAGTCATCTCCATCACCCTGAATCCAAGAAGCGCAAAATGCCGGTCAGTATTATACTCCAGGCGTGTTTCAGGATTTTGGAGCAGAGCTTTAACCTGTCAAACATTTGATCAGGATCCTTGCCAGGTCGGGACGCAGCTCAATTATTGCGGTGCGCTCTGGACAGTAACTGCTGTTATAGCAGGAGCGGGTTTCGATGAACTCTGGGCCGTCATCAAAGACGGTTTTGGACACCAGCAGACAATTCCAATGTCCACTGTAGAAGCACACGGGGCTTAAGAAGCTCCTTAAAGAAGCTGGCTGAAAGCGTGGGACCAGTCGACGTGGGCTTTCTGTATACCTTGAGCTGATAGTAAGACTGGAATCAGGAAGACGAGGAGTGAATGAAATGAATTGATGATTTAGCACTAGGAATGACAACCGATGCTTAGCCATTTTTTATAGTGAACAAGATGATGCATGCACTGCGCCTGACAACATGCCTCTGGCCTTGACCAGGCTAGGCTGGGTAGGTACCGTTCGATACCGAATCTCTCATCACCAAGTCATTGGACACTCTTTCTCACGCGCTGCCAGGTTGTAGAATTGAGTCGCCCGTATTCACAGTTTCCACTCGACGTCCGTTATATTCTTCGCGCAAGGTTGAGGTTTCCAGTGGGCTGTCCGACCATCGTGTTGCCAACGATGCCCAGTCGCACAATCTCCGACACTCAGCAATTCGAGTAACATATCCCACATGAGATAACACTATGTAACGAATAATAAGGAGACTCAAGTAATTTCAATGGGTTCCAAAAAAGAAAAAATAAGTAAGTTGTATCAAAGGTGATTTGTTACCCTACAGATGTGTACGCTTACATAATCACCTATACCATCGCCTCTTTGCACCGAGCCACTCACTCACATCAACAAATCCAGGCGATATCGTGATAGTCATCATTTGTGCCGCCCTATCGGCTCAAATTTGCAAATTTTATCCACTTTGAGGTCACTAAGCCCTGATACACTCAGAGAGGGAACATAGAGTGCAATTGGAGCAGATATGGGTCTGTAGGTCTGACAATTCTGACAACAGACCAAGAGCGAGCGAGGTTGATCGAGGTACGTGACCCAGCGCAGAAGCACCAAATTCATCTTGCCTCACCCCAAAATGCGTGCAACTCATTTTTTTCTTCCTCAACTTCATTTTGGATCTCATTTCTCCCGGCAAGACATGCTATGACTGTGAAAAACTACCGAGCGGCTGCAGCGGACATCGATGGGGCTTTCCGTTTGCTGGCCGTTGGTGGCCAGGGCCGAACCCTTATTAAGCCCCAACCTTTCACCAAACTCATCCAAAATGTCAGATTCTAATCGGATGGGGAATATAGAGAGAATATCATGTTGGAAGACACGGTTATTGTCGCCGAGGTGGGACCAGGAGAAAGTAAGCGGCTGGAGCAGCTCGCTCACGCTCCTGAGCCTGAGCCAGCAACCGAGCCAGCAACCGAGCCAGGTCCCGAACCAGCACCCGAACCAGCACCCGAGCCAGCGCCTGAACCAAAGCCAAACTCGGCTGCAACGACATTCAAGCCGACAAGTGATGCTCCAGAGTTTTCATGGTTGTGAGTTTTAAGAACTCTGGCCCCGGAATTGTTCGTCCTGACGTCGAATAGAAAACCTCACCCGATCTTTGTCATCCTACTGGTCGGCCCGGATGAGCAGCCCTTTGGATTGCCGAAGGACTTCTTGTGTTTTCGAAGCGGCTATTACAGAAGATACTTTGCCGAGCACAAAGATGAAGAGAAGCTGGAGCATATTGTCAGGCTTCCCGATACGTCCGTGCAGGTATTTGGACTGGCGCAATATTTTCTTTTTACAGGGGACGTTATTGCCGACCTGAGAGCAACGCCGTCCTACGAAGCCCTGGTGAATCTTTGGAACCTGGGATACAAACTAGAGATCGAGGGGTTGTGCGACCGGGCTCTGGATGCAATGACAGAATGCAGGAAGATTACATCCCGAATTCCTTCGACGCCGCTGCTGGTGCAAGTCTGGAAAGAAGCTCCCGATGGCTCGGCAATCAGGCAGCTTCTGCTCTCGTGGACGGCTGAGTATATGAGATCATCGGCCGCAAGGGCAGAATTTGCCAAGTCGCTGCCGCAAGAGGTGCTGAGCGAGCTGGTCGTTGCCATGAGCTCATTCGAGCGCAACAGCCTCGGTGATCGATCCCAGGCGGCAGCGTCCCGGAAGAATATACACTATCTGGAAGCGGCGGACGATGAAGACGCTCTCACCGGTGCCAAGCGGAGCAGACGCGTGATTGCTGTGCCGGCGCAGCCCGCGACCATTGTGCGCGCCGACTCGGCATCCTCCCCCAAGAACCGGACGCCGCTGCCCAAGCCGCCAAAGAGGCGCTCCGTGGCGGCCCTGCTCGAGGGCCGCACCTTTTCCACGGCGTCCAAGCTGGACTTTTGCGCGGACCTGCTGACGCGCATGCTGTCGGGGCCGGGCTTCTGGACGCGCCTGGTTGGCCCGTTCCGCGACGCCGTCGAGCCGGAGGAGGACGGCGTGCCAGACTACCTGGAGAAGGTGAAGCGGCCGATGGACCTGATGACAATCAAGGCCAAGATGGACGCCAAGGCGTACAAGGACGACGAGGCGTTTGCGGCCGACGTGCGGCAAATCTTTGAAAACTGCTTCACGTACTGGAAGGCGGGCCAGCCCATGTACGAGGCCGGGGAGCGGCTGCAGCGGACGTTCGAGGACAAGTACTCTCACATGAACAAGTGGATTGCCAAAATGGGAGGAGATGATGGGGAGTGAGGCTGGGAGGGGAGCTGACTTGGAGGTAGTGGTATGTGGTATGGAATTTGCTGCTTCGAGTTGCAGTTTGTAACATGTCTTGATGTGATTGAACTGGGTGCATGAGCGCCAGGTATTATTTGTTCGAATGTTTTTTTTTTGTTTTACAAGCTCCAGAATTAACATGGCTGTAGCAGAAAAACCTGCCTGTAAAGAGCCACCTTTTTATTGCAGCTGAAGAGAGGCAATCTACGTGCTGCACAGCTGGTTCGTCTCATTTGCCTTTCTTGTTTTCTTCCTCTTTTCCCTTTTTCTGCTGTGCCATTAACAAGGGACTGAAAGTCGGCTACATCAAACGATACGATGCTGCGCACCGCCCAGGTTGGCTGGCGCATCGTGGGGGAAATTGGCTTTGGTGCTGGGCGGTTACGGCCGCCCAATCTATGGCCTCGAACAAGAGGGACTCGTGATGTGCGGCATAGACGATGGCGCCCCCGAAACAATCTATATTTTATTGGCAGGGAGTAAGCAGCAAGCTTGTTGTCTTTTTCGTATTGGTAGAACCAAAATTGCCCATACTATTTATCAGGTAACTAAAGTGGCAGTCGGGTCTTGGGATCTTTGGACAAGGGCATCGTGAGACACGCCACGCGTTGAACAATACAAAGGAAGAATGTTGCAACAGGGCGCATTTTATTCAAGACAGTTTTACACCTTCCTTGCCTTTGTTCCAAAGTATGTAAATTACCAAAACTTGCGAGTTTGCAACGCCACCACAGAGTCCAGCAGCGATGACCTGCCACTGCCATTGTGGTCGCTCCCTTGCCTGAGAAGACTCTGGACCTGGTTCTACAAACTATGTACTATTATGCCATACTCGTGTAGCTACTGGACCGATAGGATTCTTTGGGGAGGCTTGTTCTCAAATTCTCCATGCTGGTTCTGGAGGGGTTCTTCGGCACTTCATTACCGGCTGAGGTCGCAGCACCAGGTGGCTGGGTCGTGTTTGACGATGATGTATCATCGCCAGCGCCACTTCCATGTTTACCTTTCTGCTTAGTTTTTTCTTCTTCTTTAAAGACTATTGCGCACTTTTCCTCACCGCACCGAGTTTCGAGATGACTCGTAGTGGGGGCTTGGCTTGGAGATGTACTTGGGCCGTCAACACACTTGTACAACAGTAATTACGGCTTGGAAAATTCTGACAACAAAGCAGTAGCACAAAAGCACAAATGTCAATGTGAGCGAATTCAGGTGAGACATATCCCGCGACATGCGAAGCGAACAATAGACCGACAGAGTGCATGTCAACACAGGACTTATTACTCATACACAGGCACAAAAATGCGTCTTTTTCTCTCTGCAAGTCAACCGGTAAAAGCCCGAAGGTGGGCAAAAGCAGAATTTTACCAATCCTAGCCGGTGTATCAGACACTAGCTCCGGGTCGGGCACGGGACGGGTGCTTTGTTTCGTCTTCTCGGCTCAGCTGTCAATGGCCGCTTGTACACTACCGTGTTCTAGATTTGTGACAACGCATTCGGTTGAGGGAAAAGGCGGCAAAGCGAGACTGGGTGGGTATCGACAGAGCGAAAGAATGGCCTTGAAGATAACGAGGGTCGGTGAGGGGCAAACACCAGGTTTTGGAACGACAGATGTATCGGGTAACTAGGTAGGTGCGCATGAACATGTGAAACGAAACGGGCGTCAAGTCGGGTACCAATGCGCATGCCAATGCGCGGTGGAAGATGCTGGAGTTGTTTACTCGGTATGAGAATGGCTAAGTAGCGGTAAAAGGACCAGAGTGCGACTTTTCAAGAGGAGCCTGGGACGAAATCCAGATGTGCGTGGTGTTGAGAAGCCTGCGACAAGTTGAGTGAGGAAGGAACAAAGTGGCGCAAACGAACAATCAACGGCGGCCGAACAACAATATGAAAACGGGCGCACATAACTAGGTACCTACCTAGGTACCTATGTTAGTAGTCAACGTTAGTACCACAGGCCTGGAGCTCAGGGCGTGGTGTTGAGAAATTTGCAGCAACACCATACCGCCAGGCAGTAAAGAGGTAATAATAATTCAAGTACCGCGTTCTCGTCAAGTGGAGCGCATGCATGAGCTGGCAAGAGGGCCAAAGAGCTAAATAGGCTTGGCTCTGTGGCCAAGCTTTTGGCGCCGACGAGTGGAGGCGAGTGATTCGATTTTGAGAATTTTAAGAGGCAAGCCATTCTCTTTGGGCCAAAACGGACGTTGCGGTGTCTTGTGACTGGTTGACGGGTCAGGAGCCTGCAAAAAAATAAAAAATAAAAATAAAAGAGGCAGAGTCTGTTAGCAAATGCAGGTACCAGAAGACGTCCAGCGCCCTGGTTGGCTTGACGACACTAACAAGGGCGGCATGCTCACTTTCAGGAACAGGGCTAGCGTCGGCTAGCCCCATAAAGAGGGCTGCTTCTGGCCAATGATCACGGTGCTTTATGCGTGGCTGGCGGGTCTCGGGAAATGAGTAGGACCCATCCATGGTTCGGGCAAACAGGAAAAAAAGGCTGAAAGGGAGGGCTTCCATTTACTCATCGTGGCCCGACCGCACGAGACAATGGTCAATGAAGTCTGACAGAACGAGGGGCTGGCAAACTGTACCTAACTAACCAGTCAACAGTGCAGTTCCGGAAACACATGACTAGCTGGCCACAGCCACAAGAGACTTCTAGTACTGTCGCACGGTATCAAGTCCCGATTCACAGTAACAAACGCGAGCCGGTACGGAGCGACCAGATTTCTTTCAGAGCGCGGCACAAGTACTGGCGACTTGCGCGAATTATGCAAGCTCCACGACGAGTCACGAGCGAGCTTCACATTTTTTGTGCATTTCTACCTGGTTTATGAGATCAGTTGAGACTCGAGAGTGGGATCGTCGCCAACTCCAGTCCAGTAACCACTTGGGCGCAACTCTGTGACGGAATGGCGTTCTGCTTCAAGGCAGGTACGGATACGGAGACATTGGATGCATTCGTAAGCGACTGCCTGAATGGCGGAGGCGGCAATCCACGCGATTGAGATGCACCCAACTGATGGACGATGTGATGGAAGAAGAAACGGCTGGCTGGATTTGCGAGTGTTGTACGGAGGACAACCCGTCCTGGTGATGCGGTGTACAATGCTGCCTGTCCGCCCTGTGGAACCCCTAGAACTCTTCATGTCTCCAGTGCCATGACCCCGTTTGTCCGTCTCGTCGTCTTGGTATTTTTTGGTATTTTTGGTATACAAATTAATTGTAATTAGGTACTTACTTTGCAGCCGTGGTGGAGCACTGGTTTGAGTGGCTCTGACAGCCCCTCCAGAAATGGACGGTCGCCGGGATGGCCCTCAGGCACCCTGCACACCCTGCACACTTGTACACAAGGGGAAATTGCCTGCCCAGGTACCACCCCCCAGTCCTCCACCCAAATCTGAGGCACCCCAAAAACGCCCATATACACATCTCACCCGCCCGTTTGCTTCGCCTCCCCTTCCTTTTCCACCCACATCACCAAACCTTCGTTCGTCCAGTCCATCGCCTTTGAGCGGCTACACAGCCTTTTCGCGTCTCTTCAGACTTCGCAAAGAGTATTTCCAATACTCGTTCCACTCCTTCATCAAACCTTGCACACGGCTGTGTTAGCTTTACCGCTTCTCTCTCTCTCTCTATACGCACTCGTGCGCTTCGATTCGCAGTCAATTACACCAAAATCAACTCCATCAGCTTACTTCAAGATGCACTTTTCCACCATCGCTACCGTCGCCACCATGGCCGCCGTTGCTGCCGCCGAGGCTCAGCCCTACCGCCTCGCCGTCATGCCCGGCTTGAGCCTCATGCGCCGCTCCACCGTTGGTTACAACCCCGAGACCACCAAGTGCGGTGCCGGCAACACCTGCGCTGAGGCCTGCGGCTCTGGCTTCGCCGACTGCCCTTCCAAGGACGGCGTCTCTCACTGCTACAACCCTGGTGCCAAGCAGAGCTGCTGCCAGGACGGCTCTGGTAGTACGTGAAACCTCGAATCTACGGCCCGGCAGCGGATATCGCATGTCGCGCCAAACCTTGAACCCAACAGATTTTACTAACCAGCAACCACAGACTCTTGCGACGACGGTTACTACTGCACCCACGACCACCAGGCCCAAACCTGGTGCTGCCCCAACAACCTGGATCTCGCTGCTTGCGCCGCCGCCTTCAGCGTTTCCGGTGGTCTTGAGGCTGCTACTGCCACTCCTACTCCTACTCCTACGCCTACTCCTACGCCCACTCCTTCGCCCAAGCCTACGTCTACGTCTACGCCTACTCCTAGCTCTGCTCCCGCCAAGAATACCACTACCGTCGCCAGCACCACGACCCCGGCTATCATCACCGAGACGATTGACCTGACCACCACCATCTGCCCCTCGGCTTCGGGCACTGGCCATCCCATCTACCCCGGCAAGAACACCACCGTTATTGTTCCCGTCATCCCTACTGGCGCGCACACCAGCCCTGCTGTCCTCCCTCCCGGCACCAACGCCGCTGCCGCCACTAGCTTCAGCGCTCTTCTTCTCGTTGCCGCCGGTGCCATTGCTCTTCTGTAAATGGAACGACAGCTCCGATAAAGGAAAGAAAATTAGAGCTCCTCGACATGTGGAGGCGTTGTTTCCCCTGGTGGTTTTCGGCACGTTTCGTGCGCAGCGCAACCACAAGTTTACGAGTTTCATGACAACACAGCGCAGCTACAACACGGCGGGCGTGGCCATCTGTCTTTCACCGTTTGCTCTATCGAAGACTTGACCTGGTGCTGGGTGTTCTTGGCTTCTTCCAATTTGGATTTTGGCTTCTCGTTTCCCCTTTTATTTAAGTGCGATGATTCCCCTTCTATTTAGCGACTCTTTTATCGGAGTTGCACGGTTTGGTGTAACCTTTTTTTAGTTTTTTATTTTCTGGACGAATATCGAGAATTTGCATTTTTGGAGGATGTAAAGACAGATTTAGGAGAGAGGAAGCGTCGAGCGTGGATGTAGGCGCTCGGCATCCGTATATTATTACCTCGAAGACATACGTTATTCTACAACCTGTGCCTCTCTCTCCTGTGTTTTCCATTGGCCTCATGCTTTACCTCGGGTAGTTGATTCAGAGACGTATGTGTCGTTTTCAGAGCAAACGAGTTTCCCAGCGCCAATAACATTTTCACATTGCAATTGAATACGGATTTCCAGCCTTACACACCCCCCCCCGTTTGGACCCCGTAACCATAAACTGCCGTTTTGGGCCGCCACTTCGCTAATCAACCCTGGATCCTGCACGGCGCGTACATCATTACTGCTACAATTACTTACAATTCTAACATCTACTTCCTTGCGCGTTTCTTTCCCGTATTACTCTTCCATCTGATAATACTGTAGTTGTCTCTATTCATTGTCCGGTCGCACGAACGAGAGCTACCAACTGCTCCACCGACCAGCCAGACTTGACGCGAAAGAAAATGACAGAGGCATGTCTTTTTTTCTTTTCCACCTCTCAAAAGTAAATGATTTTCCTATCCTGGTCCCTTTTCACATTCCAGTCATCACACTTGAGCTAGATCTTGACAACAAACGATCGATATTACCACCACACACGCGAAAAAGAACGACTGGAATGCCACGCGATCTATCCACAACCGATTTCGAGGCGCAGCTCAAGATGCACCTTGGGGAGGAAAAAAAGAATCGGCACG